ACCATGCCCAGCTAATGTTCTTTTTTTTTTTGTATTTTTAGTAGAGACGGGGTTTCACCATGTTGACCAGGATGGTCTCGATCTCTTGACCTTGTGATCCACCTGCCTCGGCCTCCCAAAGTGCTGGGATTATAGGCTTGAGACATCGTGCCCGGCCGAGTCAGGTATTTTAAAATAAATTTTCATTCTGGTTCTTTCATACTCTGATCCTTTTGGATAGAGTGCATAGGATACAGTGATCATCTGCTCTGTATGATTTGTTTATCATAAATCATCAAACACTGACCTGTGTCATCTTAAAACCTGTGAATTGAGATTTCATTGCTACAAAGAAAGTGAGCAGGCACTCTGCTTCATGTTTGTTTTCTTTGTAGAGACTTGAATGCCTATTGTTAGATCCTGTCAAATTCTAAATTAACTGGCTTCTTTTGTTTGTTTGTTTGTTTGACATAGTGTCTCTGTCACCTGATCTGGAGTGCAGTGGTGTGATTTCAGCTCACTGCAACCTCTGCCTCCCAGATTCAAGCAATCCTCCTACCTCAGCCTCCTGAGTGGCTGGAACTGCATGCACAAGCCACTGTGCCTAATTTTTTTTTTTTTTTTTTTTTTTTTTTTTTTGCTGTTGTACATTTATTGTAGACATGAGGTCTCACTATGTTACACAGGCTGGGATTTTCTGCCTCTTTTTTTATATACTTTAAATTCTGGGGTACATGTGCAGAACGTGCAGGTTTGTTACATAGGTATACACGTGCCATGGTGGTTTGCTGCATCCATCCCCCCATCATCGACATTAGGTATTTCTCCTAACGTTATCCCTCCCAAATTGCCCCACACGCTGGTATTCCTCACCTAGCTCCCCCACAATTTTCTAGCTCTTAATGAATAATTGCTTTTTAAAACTTTCCCCACCGAAACCTTCAGTGACTGAATTATCAAATGGCTTGAGACTGTTTAGTTTCTATCATCTGTGGCATATTGATCAGTGACGCTCAGCATCGGCCTGAGTAAGATGCCTGTGTTAAGCATCCTCCCTGCCCCACTGTCAGTCTTCACGAACCGCTATTTCTAATAAGAGTGTAGACACATAGATGATATAATCGCGTCTAACCATATCAAATGTTACATGTAGGTTTGAACTTTTGAGACATGATAAAATCTAAAGTTCAAATACCATGACTTTAATACTTGCTGAGTAATCAACGGAAGTATGTTTTACATACGTGTTTTCCAGACGACTGACTGTTAATTATAAGTGCTTCTGAATTTACAGGATGCATCTGATGTTTAGGGAGGAAATTACCCTTAAGTTCTGCAGGTCTACCCTCAAGGTGTGTACAGAGGTTTAACTGGATGTAAGACACAGGATCACCCTTAGGGTTCTGTTTGTAGTCCATTTTAGAAAACCCAAAGTGTAATGTGCTTTGTATGCCTTTAGGGTCATCTGAATTATCTGTTGCTAAGGTCACGTTCCCAACTGTTGTGATTCTGTTACAGCTGAAAAGCATTTGCGGCTTTAAAAGAAGACAAGCTGAAATGACACAGGCTGCCTTCATGTTGGAAAGTTGCTCCTGAACGTTCTCTCAATAAAGCTATACAGCCCTTTGCAATGAAGTCTTGCACATGTTGTGTAAACTTTATTTCTAGGTATTTGATGCTGTCACATATCTTACCATTCTTTGGAATTTTACATTCTGTTTATGCTGGTGTATAGTGGCCTAGTACTTACATATGGAGTTTTCTGTCCAGCAACCTGTTAAATATACCTGTGAATTCTACAAGTTGACTCTAGATCCTTTACAGTCTTCAACATACAGAGTCATATCATCTTTGAATAAGGGTAGTTGTGTTTTTTTTTTTTTTTCTATTTCCTTTTGTATTTTTTTAGAGATGGGTTTTGATATGTTTCCCAGGTCGGTTTTTGAACTCCTGAGTGCAAGTGATGCACCCGCTTTGGCCTCCCAGAGTGCTGGGATTGCAGGCGTGGGGCACCGCACTGGGTCTGTTGCTGCCATTTTGAGGAGTTTTATTTCCTCTTCTGATTTCATGGCATTGGGCCGATCCACCTGGTTCAGTGGTGCCCGTGGACATCCTAGTCTTATCAGTGACGAGAAATGGAAACATTTAAACATTTCACCATCATATTTACTGTAGTATTTTTGTAGATGGACTTTATCAGAGTAAGTTATTCCATCCTGTTCTAAGTTTCTGAGAGTATTCATTTTGAATATATGTTGAGTTTCATCAAACAGTGCATCTATTTTGACTATCACAGCATTTTTCCCATTAATCTGTTAGCGTAGTGCATTAGGTTGATACATTGGTACTTTTTATTTCCTATTTTTAAAAAATGAGATAGGATCTCACAGTGTCACCCAGGCTGGAGTGCAGTGGTGTTAATCCGAGCTCACTGCGGCCTTGACCTTTGGGCTCAAGCAGTAATGGCACCTCAGGCTCCCGAGTAGCTGTGACTGTAGGTACGTGCCACCACGCCCGGCTTCTTTTTCTTTTTTGTTTCTTGATGGTGATGAGATTTTGTCACGTTGCTTAGGCTGGTCTTGAACTCCTGAGCTCAGGCGATCTGCCCAGCTCAGCCTTCCAAAATAGTAGGATGACAGGCCTGAGCCTTGGCCTGGCAAGACTTTTCTTATCTCGTGGTTTTATTCATGTAAAGACTAACCTTCGACTGGGCGCGGTGGCTCACGCCTGTTATCCCAGCACTTGGAGAGGTCCAGGTGGGTGGATGACGAGGTCTGGAGTTCAAAACCGCCTGGCCAAGATGATGAAACCCCTTCTCTACGAAAAGTACAGAAATTTGGTGGGTGTGGTGGCACGGGCACGTAGTCTCACCTACTCGAGAGCCTGAGGCTGAAGAATGGCTTGAACCTGGGAGGCGGAAGTGGCAGTTAGCCGAGATCACCGCACTGCACTACGGCCTGGGTGACAGAGTGTGACTGCATCTGAAAAAGAAAACCAAAAAAACAGACCAACCTTATTTGTACCTTTGTGCGTGTGGGCTGACAGCGTGATGAGATTTATCATTCGACTGATGAAAAGGAAACTATCCTTGACGTTCCAGTGTGTAAGTATGTGAAAGCATAATTATTTTGAAAGCGTACATTGCTATGGGTGTTGGGACCCCTGCACTTTGCGCTGCTGTGGGAGCATGTCCTTGTAGGTACCTTCAGTCTGTTTTCTCAACTACAAACATGTTAGGGCCGTGGGTTGTGACTGGTAAGGACCGTGTCTTGCTAGTTTCAAGATGGAGTTGATTTTCAAGTGGTGTGACTCTGGCTGTCCTTGGCTCCTGTTTCACGGGTACTGTCACTTCTCCTTCTGCGATTCTGATGCTACAAATGATAATGTTTGAGTATTTTCCTACAGGTCCTTGAGGCTGTATTCATTTTTCTTTCAGCCTCTTTCTGTGACTTGTTCATGTTGAACAATTTCTTTTTGGGGTAGGTCGTTATTTCTGTTTCAGCAGGTGGTCTACCTGTCTTTCCAGGCAGTCACCACGGTCCTTGTCCCCATGGTGAGGCCAGAGCAAGGGAGGGCCCTGGATGCGAGGGGGGAGTCAGTTGAAGATGGAGTGAGTTTTGAGGGGAGCACTATTTGAGGTATTTGAGTCCCCGAGGCATAGGAAACAGCAGAGGGAGGTCGGATTCCATTATCCTCAGCGGGGATGGGAATCGGGAGTTTGGGGTGTGGGGCTTGCAACGGCAGCCCTCCCTTTCCCACCCACAGCTGCGCATGCTCCTTGGGCTCCCGTCTCAGTGCGCATGTTCACTGGCCGTCTTCCGGTCAGCGCGTTCGCTCGCGTGAAGGACGCCAGGGAGCTGTGAGGGTGTGGTGTCGCGTTCCTGCCCTCCGGATTCGTTTTCCTCTACGGAGACTCATCCGGTAGGCCCGAAAGCAGTCTCCCCAGGTGCTGAAGTGTGAGTGAGGGTGAGGAGGAGGCAGTGAGCTTCGTGGGGGTCCAGCGGGTCCTGCTGCGTGGTCTGTGGTCTCTGAGAGAGAAGGGCCTCATGGCTTCTGAAAGAGAAGGGCCTCCTTACCTCGAAAGAGCAGGGCCTCGAGGTCATCCTCTTTACAGGCTGCGAGGCCACCATCAGCTTTGTGGTCGTGAAGGGGCCAGGACATGGAGGAAGGTGGGCCGCAGAAGGGAGGTGGTCTGGGGCTCAGGTGAAGCTAGGGCGAGTGCTGGGGGTGATGTTGGAGGAATGGAAGTCCTGAGGTGCAGGAAACCCCGACACAGGGCAGATTCCTGGGTCCTCAATGGGGCCCCGTGGGTAGGGGCGAGGGGTTGGGGTCGAGGTGGAAAGTGAAGAACGGGCCCGGCATCTGGGAAGGCTGCGGGCTGCTTCGCGCCCCCTAGCATTGTGGAGAGCAGAGCGCCCGACTGAGAAGCCACGCCGGGTCTCGCCTCCACCATGGAGGGTCCGGAAAGAATGGGAAGGACTGGGCGAGGCTGTGCCGTCCAAGCAAACTTGATTAGAGGGGGGTGACTGGCTCTAGTAAGTGGGAGCGTGTCACAAGCAATAGTCACGGGAATTGTGTTTCACTAGTGTTTTCATGTGGAGTCCACTTGTGAAATGAAACCTCATCCGCATACTGCCATATGTGGTTCCCTTGAGCAGGGAGGTCAAGGCTTCAGCCATCTGTGATGGCGCTGCTGCACTCCAGCCTGAGCAGCAGAGCCAGACCGCGCATCCAAAAGAAATTTAGAAAAACATGTCTGCTGCCTTTTGCCACACCACGCCTTAAGATGATTGTTCTTCCAGCATGGCCAGCGTAAGTGGCTTTGCAGGCGCTCAGAAAAGGTACACACGTATGCTTAACTGTGGGACTTACTGTGAGAGTGTTTTCAAAAATAAAATGACAAGTTACCATTATAGCCATGGAAGTGATCGAATATAGCTGTCCTCTCAAGTGCATGTTCCCAGTCACGTTTTTTTGTTTGTTTGTTTGTTTGATTGTTTTTTGTTTTTTCAGCGAGAAATATGAGTTGGCGAGGAAGATCAACCTATCGGCCTAATCCAAGACGCTGTGTGCAACCTCCTGAGATGATTGGGTATACGCTGGTGAGTGCTTTAATGTTAATTCGATATTTTCTATTAGCAGAAATTAATATTTGTGATAATGTCATTGCATAGGTGTATAGACACTGATAACATTCTTTCATGCTGATAAAAATGATTTTGGTGTCTCATGAAGGGAACATTGATTCAGGAGGATTTTACTTCTCCCTTGTGTTCTTCAGCTTTTGCTCATGACTTCTTTCTCATGGTGGGCTTGATAATGACAGATTGTACACGTCGTGTAATAAATTCCAAAGTCCTTGTGGGTCACTGTTCTCACAGTAACCTTCCTGCGCGTAGAGTAACATTATTGAGCATAGACAACAGAGTTGGAGAAATGTCCATTTTTTTTGTTTTTGTTTTTGTTTTTCTTTTTTTCTCCTTCCTGCTGTTCTGTGAAGAAGAAATGTCTTTAGGCTTAGTTATGATCAGAAATATCTATGTAGTCTGTGTAGATATATGTATAATTATGTGTTAACAAGAAACCTGTTTTTTCTTTATTTGCACACACACACCAACACACACACGCCCGCGCGCGCGCACACACACACACACACACCCCACACTTTCCCTAGCCCAAGCTGTTCAGCGATAAAGAAGTGGAACCACCAAAACCTGAAGAAAGGGAAGCAGCAACTGAAAGTCAGGATCCTGCACCTGCTCAGGAGGGAGAGGATGAGGGAGCATCTGCAGGTCAAGGTGAAAGGAAAGGGAAGAACAATGCCTGTTGCGGGGGTGGGGGGTAGGGTGGGGTTTGTGGGGGCGTGTGTGTCTCACGCATTGCCACATAGCAGGAACAGGAAGAAAGCAAACTATGAAAAGAATGCCTGTAATGGACTGGAAAAGTGAGGAGGGTATATAGTTTGCAGCTTAGCTTAGGGAAACCCCTCACTATGGTGAAACGTGTCCACGTTATGAATAAGAGAATGCAGGCTCGAGGATTGGGTTTTATCCAAGAAGAGTTGACTCGTGAATGCACAATTTGTGTTTTGTTTCAAAGTTTGTGTCTTTCTACCATCTATCTATGTTACTGTAAAAAGAAGTAAATAATTTTTCTGAAAACTCAAATGGTTTACTGCAAGGTAGCTTAGTAGGGGCCCAGGAACAGACCCAGTTAGAGGAGCAGGTGTAGCTCTAAAAACCGAGTCACTGAACGTTGGCCACTGTTTCCTTTGATTGACAGTTTAATGCGATGGGTTTGATAAAAACTGAATGGATCAGGATACTGCCATATGTGGAGCTGGGTTAGGATGACTTTCTTTTCTTTCTTTTTTTTTTTTTTTTCTTTTTGAGACAGAGTCTCGCTCTGTTACCCAGGCTGGAGTGCAGTGACGCAATCTCGGCTCATTGCAACCTCCGCCTACTTGGTTCAAGCAATTCTCCTGCCCTCAGCCTCCTGAGTAGCTGGGAGTATAGATGCCCACCACCACACCCAATTAACTTTAGTATTTTTGAACAGAGATGGCATTTCACCGTGTTGGTCAGGCTGCTCTTGAACTCTTGATCTTGGGACCTGCCCGCCTCAGACTCCCAAAGTGCTGGGATTACAGGTGTGAGCCACCACGCCTGGCCGATTTAGTCTGATTTTCTAATTGGGTTTAGGAGGTGATGAAATCCTTTTATGGTTAGAAAAACCATAAAAGTAATTATTTTGAGGTTAACATGAGATAAATAATTTCTCCTAGATAAAATAGTTTGAGGTAGGGGCGGTGGCTCACGCTTGTAATCCCAGCAGTATGGTAGGCGGATGCAGGCGGATCACCTGAGGTGAGAAGTTTGAGAAGAGCCTGGCCAACATGGGGGAACCCCGTCTCTACCAAACATTCAAAAATTAGCCGGGCGTGGTGGTGGGTGCCTGTAATCGCAGCTATTCAGGAGGCTGAGGCCAGAGAATTACTTGAACCTGGGAGGCAGAGGTTGCAGTCAGCCAAGTTCACAGCATTGCACTCTGGCCTGGGTGCCAAGAGCGAAACTCAGTCTCAAAAAAAAAAAAAAAAGTAGTTTGAAACAAAACATTTATGTGACTCAGGTCATGGATTATTTTAGGGATTTACTGTTAAGGTTTCTAGAATCTGATTGACAACAATACGCATTAATTGCTGTCCACCCACTCCCTTATCCTCAGTGCAGGACGGTATATTTGCTGTGATTCACAAACCATGTAATTTTTGGTGCTTTGTTCTACATGGGGCTCATTTATGGAATAGTATATTTAGGACCTTTGGACCGAAGTCTAACTTTATTTGAATAAGATGAAGTTTCTATTTACCCCAATAGGTAATGGGTGTCATGAGTGTAAGATTTCCCATAGTCCTCAAGTCCATTCAACTAATGAGTCCTCAGAAATTTACATTGTAATTGTAACTGAAATCCTATCCACGTTGTGGACTTCAGATTTCTTAGCTGATGCCCACTGCTCTTGGTACTATGTGGCTGAATATAAGCATTGTAGAAATCCTGTGGTTTATCCTCAGATTTTCATTTAAGAGCAAGGTCTCATCCTGAGTTGAATGCCATGCACTCATAGTCCCAGCTACTTAGGAGGCTGAGGTGAGAGGATTGCTTGAGCCCCGGAGTTCAAGCCCAGCCTGGGAAACATAGCAAGACCTCATCGCTACCAAATAAATGAGGATAGAAGTAAAGAAGGAAATACGTAAAGGTTTTGTGAGATAGGAAAACAAACATGCAAAGTTTTGTTTCTAGTTGCTGGTGATGTTGCACACATAGGTCCTTACTAAACTGTAACATTTAAAAATAGTTAAGATGATAAATTCTATGTCATGTGTGTGTTTGTGTGTGTACATATATATATATATATATATATATATATATATATATATACATATATATACACACATCTTACCACAACTAAAAGGAAAGCAACCTCCTGACTTTATAAATTCAGTGTAGTTGTCATATATTCTTCTATGTTTTTATTTGTATATTTTCAAGACGTAACATTTATAGAAAATTTGCAGTTATACAACAATCAAGTCACATACTTTTCACCTAAATTCACCAACCGTTAATAGCTTTTGCTCCATTGGTTTGATATCTCTTCCCTCCCTTTCTTACCCTGCTGCCGACACACTCACACACTCACTTATTGATACTATGTTTACTGTTACTGATGGTCAATTGTTTAGATAAAGTTTCAGGTGTTATGGACCTTTACCCTGTGTACTTGATTGTGTGTATATTGTCAGAACCTAGAAGAAGTCATTCCTTGGATCATCACTGCACAAAGATCAAAATCAGCAAATTTAACAATGAGAAAATGCAGTCATTTCATATACAGTTTGTACTCAACTTTTGCCAGTTATTCAGACAATTTCATTCATTCAATCATTTATTGAGACAGAATCTCACCGTGTCGCGCAGGCTGGAGTGCAGTAGTACGGTCTTGGCTTACTGCAGCCTACCGTCTGAGGACCAAGGCATTCTCATGCCTCAGCCTTCTGAGTAGCTGGGAATACAGTTGCCGGCCATCGCGCCTGGCTAATGTTTCTTTTTCTGTTTTTTTTTTTTTTTTTTTTTTTTCCTTCTATTTTTAACAGAGGTGGGGTTTCACCACGTTGGCCAGGCTGGTCTTGAACTTCGGACTTCACCTGATCTGCCCACCTTGGCATCCCAAAATGATGGGGATTACAGGCGTGAGCTACCGTGCCCAGCCTAGATAATTTCCTTTATAGAATTTCTTTAGATAATGCAGAGTCCAGTTCAGGATCACATGTCGCATGTACTTGTCGTGTGGTTTTACTTTCCTTTAATCTGGAATGGTTCCTTAATTTTTCTTTGTCATTCGTGGTACGAACATTTTATGAGGAGGATAGACCAGTTGGTTTGTAGAATGTTCAGCACTCTGGGCTTTTTCGTGTATGTTTCAGAGATTTTCACTCAGCGTTTATTGGTGGCTACTCGTGCCGTATTAGACGTCTAATGCTAGGACTGTAAGTGCTATGAGACAGTATTTCAGCCTTGAGTCATTTAATACGATAAGGACACTGAGAAGTCCAATAACAGAGATGTGCAAAGGAGGCAACAAAGTTGTGTGAGGGCAGTCTTCGGGAAGGAAGGGGATAATATTTGGAAAACCCTGTTTTCCTGATTTCTGCTAAGAGACTCCTGAAATAATGTTCCTGGGGTTGTTATGAATACATTTATTATGGCACCAGCTAAAACCTTTATTTAATAACACCGAGAGGATGAATATGATTTCCATATTCATATTTCATGTTTTACTGCTTGAATTGAGAATTTTCTTTTAATTTTTAAGGGCCGGAGCCTGAAGCTGATAGCCAGGAACAGGTTCACCCCCCAAAGACTGAGTGTGAGCATGGAGATGGTCCTGATGTCCAGGAGATGCGCCTGCCATATCCAGAGCAGGCGAAACCGCCCCAAGCAGGTAGGCAATTTATGAGGCATGCAAATTGTAGGGTGTCTGTTTCCACAGTATGATATTCTTATTCTTACTGTTTTTGAGATGGAGTCTTGCTCTGTTGCCCAGGTGGAGTGCAGTGGTCCCATCTTAGCTCACAGGAACTTCTGCCTCCCAAGTTGAAGTGATTCTCCTGCCTGAGCCTCCCGAGTAGCCGGGATTACAGTCGTTCGCCTCCCAGCCTAGCTAATTTTTGTACTTTTAGTCGAGACGGGCTTTTGTCATGTTGCACAGGCTGGTCCCGAACTCCTGACCTCAGGTGATCCACCTGCCTCGGCCTCCCAAAGTGCCAGGATTCAGGTGTGAGCCACCACGCCGAACCGACGATTACATTTTTAATACCAGAGAGGTAACAATAGTGCCTCCTTAATAATAGAGGTCTTCTAACATAGTAGTTATTTGCAGCGTAGTTCAGCGCCCGACCGATGGACTGTCAGATACAGAAACACACTGAGTCAATGTCATCTTGAATGAAAACTTTTGAGCATAAATCCTTAAACCAATGGCTCACAATTTTCAGATGCTTTTTTAGAGGTGTGTTTTTAACAAATACATAAGACATTTGTAACACGCATCAGTTGGTGTGAAATATTCTGAAGCCCTTGATGCAGGTTCCAGTGCCAGCTCTCTTAACAGCATTTGTGAGATTCTCAGCGGATCCTTTAACTTCTCAACCTGCCTTTGGTTACTATAAAAATAGTGAGTTTAAGTCAGATATATTAAAATCATTTTTCATTCTGGCTCTTTGATACTGTGATCCTGATGGATAGAATGCACAGGATACAATGATCTTCTGTTTGTATGATTTGTTTATCATGTATCATGAAACCCTGGCCTGTGTCATCTGAAAACCTGTGAGTTCAGATTTCATTGCTAAGAAATTGAGTGGGCACTCTGCTTCATGTTTGCTTTTCTGTGTGGAGACCTGAATGCGTATGGTTAGATCCTGTCAAATTCTGAACTCTCTGTCTTCTTCTGTTTGTTTGTTTGAGACAGAGTCTCATTCTGTCACCCAGGCTGGAGTGCAGTGGTGGGATTTCAGCTAACTGTAATTGCTGCCTCCCACACTGAAGCGATCCTCTCATCTCAGCCTCTTGAGTGGCTGGAACTACATGCACAAGCCACTGTGCCTAATTTTTTTTAAAAAATTTATTATAGAGATGAGGTCTCACTGTGTTGCTCAGCCTGGGATTGTCTGGCTTGTAATGAATAATTGGTTTTTAAATCTTTTCCCACGGAATCCTTGCATGACTGAATTATCAAATGGCTTGAGACTGTTTAGTTTCTATCATCTGTGGCATATTGATCAGTGACGCTCAGCATCGGCCTGAGTAAGATGCCTGTGTTAAGCATCCTCCTTGCCCCACTGTCAGTCTTCACGAACCGCTATTTCTAATAAGAGTGTAGACACATAGATGATATAATCGCGTGTAACCAGATGAAATGTTATATGTAAGTTTCAACTTTTGAGACATGAGTTGATAAAATCTGAAGTTCAAATATCATGACTTTAATACTTGCTGAGTAATCAACGGAAGTATGTTTTACATATGTGTTTTTCAAACTACTGACTGTTAATTATAAGTGCTTCTGAATTTACAGAATTCACTTGATGTTTAGGGAGGAAATTACCCTTAAGTTCTGCAGGTCTACCCTCAAGGTGTGTACAGAGGTTTGATTGGATGTAAGACACAGGATCACCCTTAGGGTTCTGTTTGTAGTCCATTTTAGAAACTCCAAAGTGTAATGTGCTTTGTATGCCTTTAGGGTCATCTGAATTATCTGTTGCTAAGTCAGGTTCCTAACTGTTGTGTTTCTGTTACAGCTTCAAAGAAATCACTGCGTTAAAAGAAGACACACTGAAATGATACATGCTGCTTTTAGTTCTCCCAATAAAGCTTCATAGCATTCTGCAAGGAAGTCCTAAGCATCTTTTGTGAACTTTATTTCTAGGTATTTGATGCTGTGAAATATGTGTAATTCTTTGAAATGATATATTATAAATGTTTGAGCTGGTATTTGGAGACATAATATATATGGTTTTTTCTCTCCAGCAACTTTCAAGTTCAGCTCGGCAGTAGACACCCCCACTCAGTCGGCCCTGAAGGCGTTAAGAAGCAGATCCCCAGATAGAACAACTAAGTGGGAGTATCTGGGGGCTAATAGCATTCTGAAGTGAGAGCCTCATTCGGTGACAGCATTCTGGGCTCAGGGTTTCTTACAGATGATGACCCACGTAGTTTTTCTCCCTGAACAGTTGATTAGTATTAATAAACAGGTGTTCTGTGTTTTCTTGTAGACCCAAGATAACAGGTAGGCAGCTGGTTCCTGCTTACCGCTGATCATAGAGAAACTAAAAAGTATTCTTCATGAAGGAGGCAGGGAGGCTGGGTCACATATCCTACGCTTAAAGAATTGTTTTAACAACTGTATGATATACATATACTCTCTTGCCAATTTAGAATGCCCCTAATAGTTTTCCACTTGGGGAAAGGGATAGCTAGGTTTTCCTTGCCATCGTTCTTCTTAGTAAATGACATATTCTGTCGTACACTAAGCATTTCTCAACAAGCAATCTGTTAAATGTGCTTATGAATTCTAAAAGTTTACTTCTAGATCCCTTTTAGTCTTCAACAAAAGGAGTCATGCCATCTTTGAATAAATACAATTCTGTTTCTGCCATCTTTTTCCTATTTCTTTTGTATTTTTTGTAGAGACGGAGTTTTGATATGTTTCCTGGGCTGTTCTTGAACTCCTGAGTGCATGTGATGCACCCGCCTCAGCCTCCCACTCTGGTGTGAATACAGGCATGGGCCACTGCGCTAGGCCTGTTGCTGCCATTTTTAAGAGTTTTATTCCCTTTTTTGATTTTATGGCATTGGGCAGACCCACCTGATACAATGGTGATAGTGGACATCCTTGTCTTATCCCTGATGAGAAATGGAAACATTTCAGTATTTCACTGTCTTGTTTACTGGACTATTTTTGGACTTTATCAGAGTATGTCATTCCATTCTGTTCTAATTTTCTGAGAGTATTCATTTTGAATATATTTTGAGTTTCATCAAACAGTGCATCTATTTCAATTACCACAGCATTTTTTCCCATTAATCTGTTAATGTAGTCCATTAGGTTGATAAATTTGTTCTTTTTTATTTCCTATTTTAAAAAATTGAGACAGGATCTCACTCTGTCACCCAGACTGGAGTGCAGTGTTGTTATGAGAGCTCACTGCATCCTTGACCTTTTGGGCTCAAGGGATAATCAAACCTCAGCCTCCTGAGTAGCTGCAACTCTAGGTACATGCTACCATGCCCAACTAATTTTTCTAATTTTTTTTTTTTTTTTGTAGTGATAAGATTTTGTCACGTTTCTTACGCTGGTCTCGAATTGCTGAGCTCAAGCCATTTGCCCAGCTCAGCCTCCCACAATTATAGGATTAAGGATGTGAGCCTTGACCTGGCCAGGGTTTTCTTACATTGGGTTCTTATCCATGTAACGACTAACCTTAACTGTATCTTTGTATGAGTGGGGTAACAGCATGATGAAATTTATCATTCTATTGACTGAAAGAAAACTATCCTTGACTTTCTAGTATATAAGTATGTGAAAGTATAATTATTTTGAAAGCATATATTGCTACGCGTATTGGGACTCCTGCACTCTGCTGCTGTGGGGGCCTGTCCCTGTGGGTACCTTTAGTCTGTTTTCTCAACTGCAAACATGTTGGGGCCATGGGTTGTGACTGGTAAGGAATGTGTCCTGCTAGTTTCAAGATGGAGTCAATTTTCAAACAGTTCACTCTGGCTGTCCTAGACTCCTGTTTCCCTGGTACTGTCACTTCTTCTGTGATTCTGATGCTACAAATGATAGACATTTTAGTATTTTCCTACAGGCCCTTGAGGTTGTATTCATTTTTCTTTCAGTCTCTTCTTTTGTCTTGTTCATGTTGAACAATTTCCCTTTGGGGTAGATCATTATTTCTGTTTGAACAGATGGCCTACCTGTCTTTCCAGGCAATCACTATGGTCCTTGTCCCCATTGTGCAGCCAGGGCAAGAGAGGATCCTGTAGGGGAGGGGGTTCAGTTGAAGATGGAGTGAGTTTTGAGGGGAGCACTATTCGAGGTATTTGAGTCCCCGAGGCGTAGGAAACAGCAGAGGAAGGTCGAATTCCATTATCCTCAGTTGGGATGGGAATAGGGGGTTTGGGCTGTGGGGCTGGGAACGGCAGCCCTTCTCTTCCCACCCACAACTGCGCATGCTCCTTGGGCTCCCATCTCAGTGTGCATGTTCACTGGTCGACATCTGGTCAGTGTTTTCGCCCTCATGGAGATCGCCAGGGAGCTGTGAGGGTGTGCAGTCGCTTTCCTGCTGTCCGGACTCTTTCCTCTGCTGAGACTCATCTGGTAGGCCTGCAGGCCAGACCTCTGGGTGCTGAAGTGTGACTGAGGGTGCGGAGGAGACAGTGAGCTTCGGGGAGGTGTGGTGGGTCCTGCTGCATGGTCTGTGGTCTCTGAGGGAGAAGGGCCTCCTGACGTCCGAAAGCACAGGGCCTCGAGGTTGTCCGTCTTCTCTTCACAGGCTCTGACACCATCGGCTTTGTGGTTGTGAAGGGTCCAGGACAGGGAGGAAGGTGGGCCATGGAGGGGAGGCGGTATTGGGCTCAGGTGAAGATGGGGTGAGTGCTGGGGATGTTGGAGGGATGGAAGTCCTGAGGTTCTGGGAACCCCCGACACATGGCAGATCCCTGAGTCCTGAATGGGGCCCCGGGGGCATGGTGATGGGCGTAAGGTGGGCAGTAACGAAGAGGCCTGGCATTAGGGAAGGCTGCAGGATGGTGAGGGCCCCCCAGCAGTGTGGAATGGGGAGCGACCCAGTGAGAAGCCATGCAAGGTCTCACATCCGTTATGGAAGGTCTGGAAACAATCGGAAGGACTGGGCGAGGCTATGCAGTCAAAGCAAACTT